AGAGCTGATCAGTAAGTTCACTGCTAGTTAATATTTCCACTCAAAGCTGTGAGAAGAGCTGGTAGTTCGGCCTCGGCTCACCTGTCTCAGGGTCACACTGATGCTCGCAGGGATCCAGGAGGCGTCGTCCACACAGCTCGTTCACCCACGGCCCGCTGGCATTCTGCTGATAGTACAACAAAATCTGGGCCGGGTTGAGCCAGTCTGAAGCGTCCAACTGGCTCCCCTGGAGCAAAATGAACCTTGACCCTGGGTAGGATAGAGGAAATGGAAGACACGGAAGAGAAGGGAACAGGAAAGAAATGTGAAATGGATAAGATGGTTGAAAAGAAGGACAAAGGTAATTGAAGGGTAACGAAAAGATGGTAGGAATGGAGACGGGAGGAGGGTGAAAAAGCAGGGACGAAAAACAGAACAGGACATAAAACAGCCTGACTTTGAACGAAATCTTCAAAGCAAATTATCATATTTATCATGTTTTTTTAACCACTTATTTCTTTATGTTTTCTATCATTTCTAAAACCATTTAACAACAACAACAAAAAAGACAAGGTTACAGCACATATTGGACCTTAAAAGTGAAATATCTTCAACTAAATATGATGACAGCAAGCACCACATTTTAGTGAGGCAGTTTGTACGAGAGAAAACAAATTAGGAAACCTTCAAAATGAATTTTTTGAAAAGAAAATGTGATTAAAAAATACCAGATTTAAAATGAAGTGGATCTGGAAAAAACATGAAAGCTTTATAAGACATTACTTATTATTTTTCGTATAAGAGCCACAGTGCAAACATGAAAGCTGCAAAACTGAAAAGCAAAACTTTATTTAAACAGAGGAATATCCATGATCATACAAATAACATGTGTAAGGCATGATCAGCTGGATTTCCAAATGTACCTTGACTAGGTTGATGGTCTTGGCTGATTGAACCACATAACTATAACTGGGTGGGTAGTGTGGGATTATAATATTACCTTATGCCATGTTATACCCCTAATTAAAGATTGTGAATTATTATGTAGTTTTAGTAAAAAAAACCCATTTGATTCTTGCTGTTTTTGTTGTTTTTTCTATTATTACTGTGGAGAAAATAGAAGCAGTGAGGGCAGAACTGGCATCATCACCAAAACAACACATTCTGAAATGTTTAAAGATCTTTGCTATTTCAAATCGCATAAAGGTGACTGTTGCTGTGATTTAATGCCATAAAAAATGATATGATATGTGCTTACAAACTGTATAGAGTAAATGCTGACACAATACAGCATTTACAGTGGATTATATTATGTCAGTGAAAGCCAAATTGAAACAAAAAGTCTACATTTTCTCCCAGAAAATCATTTTTTGAACCAAGGTCTCAGGGTTTTTGTAAAACGATTGTTATAGCTGTCAAATTCATAACATTTAACACAACTCAGTGCTGTGCATCTCATCTCTTTCACTTACATTGTTCAGTGTTTGGCCCTTCTTTTATTTTAACAAAGTATGGCTGTCTGTGAAACAAACGTTCCCCGACCGTGAGAAGTCCTCCTCTTTCTCCTCTTTCTTATTAGTGTTTGTTATGACACAAACAAAGCATCAGCTCAACGCTTTCTCTGTAATAATAAATGCTTAATAATGATTATTGGCGCGACTATGGGCCGACACGTAATTCTGAAAAGGTTAAAGATGAGCGAGTACAGCTGTAAATGAGTTACAGTCGCGTTGTTTGTTTTCTATGTAAATTTCAAAGTTTGTGCATCTGATCAGTGGAGGTAAAACTGTTGAGCGCTGGGCTAACAGTCTGCTGCCATAATGCAGGATAATGAGGCGAGGACTGCCTGTGTTACTGCTGCTGTTTAATTTCAAACCTTTCTACTTATGCTTTAATTACCTCGTGGTTGAAAGCTGCAGCGCACAACTTTCCTCTTAAAAGGTATAATCAATTAGTTCCATTGAATACACTTAAAGACTGAGGTCTCCGGGGGTTTACAGCTCAAATGCTGTAAACTAAAGGGAGCTCGTATGCAAAATGTTTTCTACTGAGTTTGTGGCTGCCTGGGAAAACAAAAGCTCTCTTCCATGTTCCAGGACACCTGACACAGGAGGTGTCTCTGGAACGCTTGGTTCTGAGAGTTATCCGCTGTGTGATCTCCGTAAATTAGCAACAGCGCTCACTGACCAAAGCACTGTCCATTTGCAAACACGGGATGCACTGGGCATTTGCTAACCCAAGCATATTTAATGACTTGTTGGCAGGCTCTGTGTGCCCTAGTTAGCTCCGTCCTCTTTGATGATTCCCTTAGAACTAGAGCACACACTGCAAATGGCTGGACTCATCCTGTTAGCTTAATTGTGGAGAGTCATAAAACTGCCTGGAAAAACTTTGAAGACACCAGCAGAGTTTCTGTTTTTATGACACTTTTTATGTTCTGTTTGAGTTTTCTGGCAACTATGTATGCACTTTTGAAAGATGAAATGGATTTCTGTGTAAAACATAAATGCTTTATATATATGGTCTAATATACAATGAAGAATTCATTTATCAAAATAAGAAACTGTAGCCATCTTAATTGAGACATTCATCACATCGTGATGTTTGACTCTCACAGGGAGCCGCGTAGGCCTGAACGGACGAGACCAGAATTATTAACGTGAGCGCCAGACTTAAGAGCAGAATGAATCGCCTGTGTGCAGCTCTTTGGTTATGTTTTAAATAGAGCAGTTATGTTGCTACTTTGTGCATCACAAGTACAAAGAAAGATGGTGCTGGTTGCCATCCTCCAAAACCTTGGAATTTCTATATATAAAAAAAATATTATAGAGCTCTTAAATACCAGG